TATATATATATATCTTGAAGCTAGTTTTAAAGGGCACTCAGGAAACAAGTTACTGTAATAAAATAAAATTTAAATAGCTGTTCTTTTAATAGGAAACAAAAGCTAAAGTGTTAGTTAATGAAAATAAATTTGCTGCTTAACAAATCCTAGCCATAGAAGACCTAGAAAAGTCTACTGCAGGCCAATTCCAACCTCTTGTTCAGCCCTTCATGTAGGAACACAAATGTGCCAGTCTGGAGTTGGGTTACAGTAGTTGTTTTGGTGGTAATGCTTCCTTGAAATACTGATTTTGATTTTAAAGTATTTTAATATTTTCCTACTGTTTGTTTAACTAAGTTTTCCTTTCCATTTTTTTTGACTAATATTAAAACCCAATTTTAGAATAAGTAATTAAATTCTGATCCATTTTCATAGAAAGGATAACTTCAGCAATTCTAGCTGTCATTTTCCTTCTCTCCTAAAATGTCTTCTACAGCTTTTACTTTACTTTCTGCCTCACCAGGAACTTCAGTCATTATTATAGTTTGTTTTCAAAGGAAAGAATGCTTAGACATGCCTTGAGGTTTTGATTGACAGCTCTGAGAGAGATCACCTATTGCCTGAAATCCCCTCCCCTGGCTCAGTTAGACAACTTTAAAAAGGAACTAGGAAACAGAGTAGAAGTGTTGTCATTGCAACGTTGGATTTCTTGTGACATGAACCGAAAAGATGCAAACCCTGTCATTGCAGCGGAGTCACGGCAGCTGTTTGCTGTTGTGGGCATCTGCATTTGGCTTGGACGCACCGGATCTCAGCAATGCGTAGCGCAAAACATGCAGGGGTCAATAGAAGTACTGCTGAAAGAGAAATATTGGTTTGAGTATCTGCTTGAAATTATACTCTCCCATGGAAGTGGCAATGAGCAATGGAAAAGGTGCTATAAATCCCTTTCTTCAACAGATTTTCAGTATATTTGCTACATACATTTTCCCTGAGACAGTTTTCTCTGGACTATTTCAGATGCTAGTAACATTAACAGAAGTAACTTTTTCACGGGAGAGACGCTTGGCACTAAGTGCTTCTTTGACTTCTGAAGTCAAAATAATTGCCTGTCCAGGAAGTGAGGCGTTGTACACTTCTCCAAATACCATCAGCTTTCAAAAACAAGTGCTGTTACTTCCCTGACAAAGGCCCCTGGTTCATATTTGACAGTGCCCACCATAGAGGAACCAGACAGAGACAAAGCAGACAAATTCTAAAGCCTTAAATATCTAAAGTTAGGTTATTAAATCCCTGTTTGGGTGCAAAAAAGGGGCATCCTATTTTTAAAGGGAAGCAGAAGACATTTTGCAATGAGATTGGGATGTTATCTGAAAAGTAAGACATATACTGAGTAATACAGGTAAGCTATCAAGACTAAAGCCTAGTAAGGGAAGGGATATCATCCTACTTGGGCAGAAGGCTGGAAATCTTCTTTATAAGTCTTCTTACCGATTGCCACATGAGTTAATTTAGCTTGGCCTTTCTAGGCTTTTATAATCTCATGTCTGTAAAGTAGCAATTCAATTTTTCTTAATAAATCTGGGTCTCAGATGTGTCAAGTATTAGTGAGGGACAGTAATGGCAGTAGTATTACTTCTGGGACAGTGATTTTTCAGCCTGTGATCTGGGCCAGATTTCCTGTAGTGAAAGCTGCTATTTAAAGGTTGTACATGCAAATGCCTTTGGCATTTATGTCTTGACAAAGTTTCCTTTTTCATTTTAGGGGAAAAGATTCCGTGAAACACTTCCACATTGAACATACAGGAACTTCATTCAAATTTGGATTTAATGAATTCCCTAGCTTGAAGGAATTAGTCAGACATTTTGCAAATCAGCCTTTAATTGGAAGTGAAACAGGTAAGGAGAGCCATACATTTGTACGAACACCTTTGTCGTCATGCTTCACACCGATCTGAGTAGGAGGAGTTTCCAGTATGTTATCAGGTAGATCTATTGCTGAAGTGTTCCTCTGCAGAAATTCACATTTGTATTAACCTCAAGTATCTAAGATGTTCCTCTTCAAAAACTCTTTCAAGTACTCTGAAGACAAACCACATGTAAGCTTACTGGCTTTTTGCTAACCAGGGGCAAGAGCTCTTTTTGATTTCACAGAGAGAGAGAAGGAAGCATTTCAAAATACGCATATACTGGGAGGAACAGAACCTTCTCAGAAAGAGCAAACCCAAAGCAGAGTGTTTAGTGAGGAAATACATGTTCATCTATTAATTTGAAATCCCCCGATAAGAATAAATGTAAAAGGGACTTGAAATTGTTTAGCTCTACTATTCTTCATCCAAGGAAGAAGTCTACAGTGATATGTTCCCCTTTCCTGTGGGGAATGTGCCCTGTATTACCTCTCCCTTTCTGTCTACAGTGGATCAGCCTGTTGATGCCATCTGCCATCACAGGGATTTGTCTTGTTTTTAAGAAAAAGAAAGAGAAAAATCACAGGCTTCTTTAGCAGCCACCGTGCTACCTGAATTAAGAGTCAAAAGATTAAACTTGATTCTTACAAGTGAGCTGAACACCACCAGACCAGAATCCCTGGACAAACAGATGCATATTGTCATGCTAATGCCAGTTTTTGGTTTAGCTTCAAATGTAAGAGTTGAAGATATCTCAATACAAATTATTACCAAAAACTTCAGCATCCTACGTAGAAAGTGTATGCACATAATGCCTGGATTAGTACTAATGAGATATGTGACTCGGTAAATAACAGTTGGCATGTGTGATAACTGTAGTATGTCACACACTAGATACACACCAATGCTCTTGTAACCTAAGCATTAAATTCAAGGGTTGCTTTGCAATTTCCACCCTGCCCCCAAGAAAAATGCAGTGGTACACTCAATATGGCACTTTTATCTTTCAAAACATTCTCTAAATTGCTTTTAAAAGTGTTGTGAACAGAGTTTCTACAGGTAGAATCCTTTGTGCCAGTCAGCTCTTTTTCCTGTGAAATCAGACATGCACCCACAGGCCTAACGCTGTACAGATTTCAGCTGACAACTTGTATTTCCCCATTCCTTCACTGCATGCATTACAGACGTTAGTAATCACGGCATCGGTGTTATGTGATCTCTGTGAGCAGGATCAACACTGCTGAGTGATGGGCTCACTTGTCACCTTAAAGCTCCCTAATCAGATTCTGCTGGCTCTGTGAAACCCCTTTAAGATGGATGTGCTGCAGAATAAGAAAAGCCATTTGAGCATCACATCAGGAAGCCTTCCACTGTACCACACCATGGATAGCAGCAGAGAGGGAGACAGTTAGCACTCAGGCAATGTTCCTTCAGATACAAGTGTCAAAGGTCTCCTTGCTGGTAACTGATTTATACCAAAAAGGGGGTTGGAGCTCATCAGAGCCCACTCTAAGCCAAGTGTCGGCGTGGCAGAAAGGCTATCAGCAGAATCTGATTTCTTAGACTACACTTCCTTTCAGTGAAAAGCAGCAAGCGACCTTTGGCTCAGGCATTAGAAGAAAGTCGTTGGACCAGTTTTTCTTATTCCTAGTTGTACTTAATTTTCTATAGAAACACTGTGAGATCAGGAATGAGAGTAAAGCACGGTAGCGCTTTTCATCTCCTCCTTGCTTACGGACAGAATTTTATAAGACAAGAGAAAGACAAGAGACTCACGAGATAGTGGAAACCATTACAGACTATCTTCCATTTAAGTTTTGTCTCACTGGCGCTAGTTTTGTGTCTGAAGAGGCACACCGGACTCTTGGAGCAGTACTGAACACACAGCCAGCCCTGCACCCCTGCAAACTGGTCTGGGGAGCACAGTGGTTTATTTGTACTGAGACAGCTGTGGGTTTGCACTTCAAGCCCAACAAACCTTATCTTACTACAGCTTCATCTTCCACTCCAAATTGCTACATGGACTCACATCATATTTCTGCAGCATAATGTGTACACTCCAGTCTCAACTACAGATAATCAAAAGGAAATTTGGGCTACTGTGTTCTGTGAGATGGTTGGTCGAACAGGCAAGCTGAATCTATTAATTAACAAGGTTAAAGCAATATACTATCATATTTCTATATTTCTGTCTTTATTCAAAGTGACAAGGTCAATATGTTATTCTTACCCATTTGCTTGATTAGTTTTTACCTAAATTATTTTGAAAACAGAAAAACTTTAAGTCATAACCCAGACAAAAAAGTCACCTGAAGCTAACATGTCCAACAATTGGACTGATTTTCATTCTTCCTTAGAAATAGATATCACGCACAAACGTGCAAGAATCTTGCTACAGTGCACCTTTTACTAGTTCTTTTGTACAGTTACCAGATGATTCTGTAGAAGTACCTTTTGTGGAGAAAAAACACAGAGAACTTACAAGAAAACAAATACTGTATAAAATGTTAAACTAGTCCTCTCAGTTCTGCAACAGGGCTCATTATCCATTGCACACAGATGATGGTACTCTGATTCTATGCAACAGCTTAAGAGTGGTGTCTGTAGACGGGTGATGGGGATGTTCTCAATTTCATTTTAAACAATAAAGCTTTTTTTTTTTTTTTAAATTTTTGCAAGGCCGGAGAGAATTAAACTGATTTTGACTTGTCTCCTACTGCAAGTTGAATATCATATTTGCATACAGCCCCTGTGCCTGCAAACAGATTTCAGTTGGTTACTTTAAATACAATTTTACCACTTCCCTTTGTAGCCCTTCCCATTAGAAAATGTACTTTAAACTTTATTTCACTTTCAAATTACTCAATCACGTGTAGGTTTCATGTCCAAGTTCTTACCAATTCTAGCATCTCTCCTCTTTCAGAGCAGACAATATCCGCATAAAACGCAAATGGAGAAGCATTTGGTGTGCTGTGACATTATTTTTGAAGAATGAGATTAGATGGTGTAGCAGTTACTATTTTAAGGAGGTTCTTCCCTAATAGATTCACTATTGAGAATTAAGGTTTTTTGCAATAAACATGACATTATTTGGAAAACAAAGAATGGCTATAATCAAAATATTATTAGCTAGAAAGAACTATGGTAAAACAGTTAAAGGTGATGGTAACATGGGTTTACAGTTGGGAAGTCTGCATCCGAAGCTCTGACAGATGAAGTGATTTATGCAGCAAGCAGTGGGTTGTTGGCAAAACCAGGATGACTGTTTTGGCCTCATATTTAGTTTTTGTCCTGCCTACCCACCCAGCCAGCCTCCTGTGCAGGAAGAGAATTTCATGTGTCCAGGGATTCCTTGCAAGCACTAGTAAGTTTAAAAGTTTTTAAAAGGCACCATATATTTACAGTTTTCACAGCTGCATATAATCAGGCATGATAATGTCTGTAGTCACATCTTCATGAATGCAGTCAAAAAGATGCCCCTGCCTGGTAGAAAGTCACAAGTCAAATCTTGATCACACTTAGGTCAGCATTTAGCTGTAAACATTTGGTAACTACAAAATCTGTGTTTCAATTTGTTCTGTATTACCTAGTTACTCCCCGAGTGGAAAGCAGCATAGGAAACACCTGCCTTTGAATGTTGTCTGATGCTCCTGTTCTATTGCTGTCTTTATTTTTTGCCACTTACCATGCATTGCAGAAAAGGTTTAATTACTTTCTGCTCAGAAGAAGTGAAAAGGGTTTTCACTCTTGTTTTCAGAGATTTAAGAACAGTTTGACTCCCACTGTACAGGGGTGAGGGAATGGAATTAGGCAAGGTCTAACTGCCCAAGGCATTGAGGACAACACAGAGCCACAAGCGAGGCTGGGCAAATGAATCCGACAGCAAGTGGTCCTCTGTAATTTGCACGGGTGGATTTCTGTAGAAAATACCCTTCACAAAGTCTAAGCTATTCAGATGATGTGTATTAGAAATATTTGCCTAGTTCTGTCAGTATGGGAGTCTCATTTATAGCATCTGATTGTTTTCCGACATGGATGTGGCCCAGGTCCTGCCCCGTTCCAAGGAAAATCCCTTACAGGGAGTGTCACAGAGGTCTTGGCAGGGTTATTATCTTTTCCTAAAATTAAAAAGGTGTAAGAGCTAAAGTCAATCATTCTACAAACAGGCAGCTGCTGCCTGTTGTTTTCTAAGACCATCTTTGACAGATGACTTACTCCTGCTGTTTTTCTCTCCAGGAACCTTAATTGTATTGAAGCATCCCTACCCACGGAAGGTAGAAGAACCTTCCATTTATGAGTCCGTCCGAGTTCACACAGTGATGCAGACGGGAAAGACAGAAAGTGATCTTGTTCCAAACGCTCCCGCAGTAAGTTGTGTTCTGGTGCAAGGGCTGCTTCTCTTGGCTCAAGTTTAATGTGAGTGTTGGAGTAAGCTATGGAATAACACCAGTGATCCATCTGTTTATGAGTTCATAAATACAGGAAGTCTTTGCCGACCAAGGCAAAACAAACGCAGATTTGCTAGGTACAGTCCCATGACAAATAAAGCCTTTCACAATTGCTGTCACCGAGACCTTCAGTGCTGTCACTGGGAAAACATTGTTTGCAGCTAACCTAGGTGAGTCTGACCATCCAAACGAAGAATATGTAAAAGGTTTTCATTCGCCTGTTATCTTCCTTTTCAAATGCCATCTTGGCAATAACACTATCAGGAATTTAAAAAACCAAAGACACCACAAAAACCAGGCCCAACAGTTCTCACATCTTTCTGACGACGCTCACCAGGCTGTAGGCAGCAATGCATATATCAGGTTGCACAGTAAGCCCTTGGTTTGCCAAACATCCTTTACAGCCAGTGTGAAGTCTCTCTCTCTTCCCCCCTTCACAGGTGTGGGGAGGAATACACTAAATAGCAAACCCAAGTAAAAGCTGCAGGATTTACCACATTTTGTCTCACCCAGTGAATATAAGGATTAGATGACTCGGTTCTGACAGACATAAACTCATTATTTTTACAGTCTTCTTTGTTAGAATTATTTTGCCCAGTTAGCGATCTATAGCATCCTTCCTAACTGGGAGGAAGGAAAGAGTACCTCTGACTTTCTAGGTCGCTTAAAAAGTGACCTTTTGAAAAAAATATTTTAAAATGTGCAAGACAGGCAGGGACACATTTGAAAAAGGAAACCCCAAGCTGAAGTGTGGTACAACCAAGTTAGTAATATCTATATCCTAAGAGGTACATTACTCAAAAAGGTTTTTTGCATTTTCACACTTGGATTTTATTATTTTAGAATCACCTTGTCTTCAAGCAGGAAGACAGCTTGCTGTGTTCTGACACAGACTTAAACCCAAAATAGAGCGATATGACAGAAAAACCTCCACCATTTCAGCACTAGTAACTTTGAGCACAGTAAAAGGCTGTGTCGTGTTAAAAGCTACACCTCACTGGTGTGAGAAACAAGATAACAGCTTCATGTCCATTTGGGCCACCTGCTGGGACATCTGTGACTCAGTCTAACAGTAATTAGAGACTTTAAATCCCTAGTAACTCATATCTAAGCAAGACAGGTGGTTAGTCCAGAACAGTATTTCTCAGAACAGAGAGGAAGACTTTTAATAACAGACTATATTTTTGGAGAAAAAGACAGAGAGTTACATTAATACCAGTTAGTGAAGTTGATAAAAGAACTACTTCTGATGTACCCCACAACCAACGCTTCACGGATGAGTTCCACTTTAACCTCCAAAGGAACTTGACTTCCACATGCAACTGATAAAAAGTCAGTATTTTTTCAAGATCAAGTAGTAATTAACTTGGCAAGAATTTGGTTTTCAGAGGTCAGCAGTCTCACAATTAGGTCTCTACCACAATTTCAGTGAGTATCTGAGAAGTCGCAAGGTCCCAGAGTCACTCATGGAGGCAGAGAAACAGTTTGTCAGTAAGCACATAGAATGTGACGGGTTTTGGTCTTGAACATACGACTGTTTGAGAGAAGAGAATGTCTGAGTAAAACAGCATCTCCCCCCTCTCCCCCTTGCATTCCAAGAGTGATTTCTGTGGGTAATTCCACTGTCCAGCAAAACCCAACTGCTTCTGGTTACAACATGCCCTGAGACAGCCAAATAACTTTACTAAATAAACCTGCAAGTTTTTTTGCTGGGCTGAGAAGGTACTAGTGCAGGTGGGTGTTTACCCTAGTGGTGGATCCAGCCCTGGGAGGGGAGCACAGGAGGTATGACAAGGCAAGGGACCGCGGGACGTTTCCCCAAGAACAGGCTGCTCTTTCGCATTATGCACGTAGGCAAAGGTGTGGGAAATAAAAGCAGAGCCCAGTTTCTAACCTCGATCCCTTTCCTTCTTACTTCACAGCTTGGTACAAAAGAAGGATATTTGATAAAACAAGGCAAAATAGTCAAGGTAAGGAGAACTGTTACTACTTGCTTCCACTCTACAACCACACACACAAGCTAGAGTCCATCCGGAGGTGAAATAGCTCCACCTGCACGGCCCTGCAGAGGGGAACAGTTTGTGTTTTGAGCAACAGCAAAGCATGACTGTAAACCAGAGCAAGGTGACAGCTTTAAAGGTTTTTCTTTCCTAAGAAGTATTACATTAAATTCTCACAAGACAATTACCATCTGTTCTTGATCTTTCAGAATTGGAAGACAAGGTGGTTTACACTGCATAGGAATGAACTGAAGTATTTCAAAGACCAGACAGTAAGTAGCACACACCAGTTCTACTCTTTAAACCTCTACAGAGGCAGCTGCAGCCTCCTCATATCTCTGGCTTCTCGCACCTGTATCACAGCTTCCCATGCTGTCAGGGGGTCAGACCTTTAAAATAAAGTCAGAGTTTTGCTGAGGACTTCAACCAGAAGAAATGAGTAAGTTTTACAGCTAGAAAACATTTACTGTGCTCTGTCAGTCTTACTTACTGGACAGAGCTTTGTTTATAGGGCATTTTTGGGATTTCAAGGTACCAGCACAACACAGCTTTGATTGGTGGCTTTGATACACAACCTAACAGACAGCAGTGCTGTTAAAATATTTCTGCAAATACTAGTCATATATTTTGCATTCCTTCATTTTCATTTCATCCTTTTATTTCAAGTGGTCACACAGTACACATAGAAAACCATTTCGGTAAAACCATCTTCCTTCCTAGCACTCTGCTGTAGATTGACCTGCTGCACCTGGGAAAAACAGCTTGTCCTTACAGTTGCTGGTCCATTTCTATCTTAAACTGAGTAAAAACAAGAAATACCTCTGGAGTTTCTCCACCCTTACAATACCTCCAGTTTGGGTTCCTCCGGACAAACTGTTTACTTCTGCACCTCTGCCAAGCCCTCTGTCAAGCATCTAACAGATTTTAACACAACAGCAAGCACAACTGCTCTCTCTCATCAGCCATCACCATTTATAAACAGTTATGTATTTATGGGACCTTCAGTCAGTTTTCAGTTCAGTTCAAGCCAGCTTGAATTAAGTTTCCAGGATAACATTTCAAAGGGCAGCACTCCAAACATTTGAGTAGCATTTACTGACTTACCAGGAGAGAAGGTGCCTTTGTCAGGAACACGGCCTCCTCCCAGGCAGCTCCGGTGTCTCTGACACTCCTGTTGTTGCTGGGGGCTTGCAGATACCTACAGGTGAGCAGCTTGCTGCTGCGCTGGCATTTGTTAGCGTGCCTCAGCCCAAGCAACTTTCTTCTAGTGCAGCGTCTAACTAACGGCCACTAAGCCAGAGGAGAACTTAAGGAAAGGTGAGAAAACAAGAGACACCTCCATGTGCCTAATGCAGGACCACAGGAACAGCTGAGGGTGTTATTGGCAGAGGACAAGCTCTTCTGCCACTTCAGCTGCCTTTTGCAAGGTGCTCAATAGGGTGAGGCTGAGAGAAGCGAATTAAAGGACTCCCACACTTTAGGGGAAAAAGAACTCCTAAGGGGCATGTGATGAACAGTCTGCATCCCTGCACCTGAACACTCCCAGGTCTGTCTCAAGGGATACATATATATATATATATATATGTACACACTGCACACACTGCTCATACAGCAAGCCTCCTCACTCCTACAGCAAGCACTGGTTTAGCTCTGCTTCTGCATTTCTCCTTACCCAGCTTCATCTTTCTAAAGCACTTAGGAATTAATTAAATTGCCAACAGCTGGCTAGTCCTGAGAAGACCTACAACCATCCCCTTGTCTCTGTAAGCCTTAGTTGGAAGTTCTACCACATTTGCTGCTGTGTCAGTTACATTACAATACATCAACCAAACCCTCAGCAGTAAACGTTCCTGCAGTAGAGATCTGTAGATCTGAACTCACTGTCCTGTTTTTTTATATCCATCTCACATTAGCACTGATGTTACATTTGCTAGTTTGAGGTTTACAGTGTTAAAGCTATTGTACCTATGCCTGGAAAGATCTCGTGTGCCTGTAAAGGTCCAGATGTGTTGAAGATGAACTTAGCTACCCTTTTCTTCTGTTTTCATGTTACCATTGTAAAACGATTTTATTTTCAAGGCCACAGAACCAATTCGGGCACTTGACTTAACTGAATGCTCAGCGGTGCAATTTGACTATTCCCAGGAAAGAGTCAATTGTTTCTGGTAAGTTGCTATGCTTTCTCCACCTTGCTGGGAAGGTCGAAATGCCCAGGGAAGCTTGAAGTGTAACCATGGCGTGCTTCTGAAAGCTCCCTTGCCGATTGCGACTCTGATCTTAACCCACGAGTCTGTTTCTGTCAACCAATCTTTGTCAGTCCTGCAGTGTTTTGACAAATTACCACTGGCAAAAGGGGTTTTTCTTGTCAAGAAGAGGGGGTGTAGGCTTCTGTGTAGTGGGAATTTCTTTTCCTAATTCTGTAAGCAGAATATAAGAATCACCTAGACCCATGGGACTTAGGTATGGTCCAGTTCCCAGTTCAGACATTGCTATGGGGTACACAGGAACCACTTCTGCGCCCAAATGTGGGTCTTTTATCCTTATGGGCCTGGGGCAGTATCTCCCCAAGGTGCGAATGACTGTAAACCATTCTTGGCTAAGCTCCCTCACACGGCCTCCCTGCCCTGGTCTGTCTGAACACCTGTAGGTGCAGTTTTAGGAAGAACTACCAGTTGTTGTAGCAATTGAAGAAATAGTTTTAATTTTTTACTTCTAGTTTGGTGTTCCCACTACGGACATACTACCTGTGTGCGAAAACGGGCATAGAAGCTGATGAGTGGATTAAAATACTGCGATGGAAGCTGGTAAGATGATGTGCAGTGTTACACGGCAGTGTGCCTTGGGCAGCGGTACCCTTGGCAGTGCCATCACAAACCACCCAATATGGCAGCACCCGAGCGCTACAGTTCTCGGTACCTGCAAGAAGGGAGCATGCGTTCTGGCTTCCAGGCTAGAGAGACTGGAATACATAGTTTTTAGCTCGTGTGTGTGCCTGCAAACCCAGTTAGCATTTTCAGGATGCACTTTTACCACATGTTAGGAAGAAATGACTTCCATCTTTAAGTGTGTCATTGTGTAGATGGTAAATGATACGGAGCATCAGCACAGATCATGTGTTGGGTCATGAAGGAAGCAATGAGAAGACAATGTGAAGGCTTGGAAGCGTTAGTTCCTTAAAAATATCAGTATTAGGGTTGGTTGTCTTCACCCGCATCCACATGCCTGCAAACAAACAGTAATAATGGCTTGTCCTTTTGTTCCAGTCACAAATACGGAAGCAACTGGAGCAGCGTGACGCCAGCCTCAGTTCCTAGCTGCACCTCCAAGGCTTCTGCTCCGTTTGCAGGACTGGCCTTTCCGCCAAGGGAAGGCATCACGTACCAGAGGATGTGTATACCCGCACACGGACGCTTGCATCCAGCTCTGCACACAAAGGACTGGTACAGCGGAGTGCTCTGGGGCTGCTGAGGCACGTGTGGAGATGGTTGCAAAATCAGAGTGTTGGTTTGATATGCATGGTGTATGCGTGTAGTGCACGCTCAGTTCCAACCCCTGTTAACTCATCACAGAAGTAGTCACTGCATAAAACTTTTGTGGTTATTCAGAGCACTCTCAATAATTTATTGTGAGCTCCATCATAACTAACCATTAGCAGCATATGCTGTAACCTGGAGCCTGTTATTTAAAGCCTGTTATTTCAGTCCTTCCTGAAAACATTAAAAATGTGGTTTGCATTACATGTTTAGGTTCTAAACCAAAAGAAAAATGGCAGAGGTAAATTACATGTTTGTAAATAGTATCTATATTACAATCCAGAGAATATTTCAAGGTGATGGATGAAGAACACTTTGTTCTAGTCAAATAGGGTTTTGTCCGGTTTAGATTTATACCGCAACGATGGCTGCAAGTGACCAGCTGTTTCAGACGGGATACACAGCTAACAGTGAGCTGTCATGCAAGCACGCTTGTTTACAAACCAGGATTAGGAGAAACAGGCAGCTGGCTTCCGGTGCACATATGACAGAGCTGCCATGGGACCCTAGGGGTGGGTGACAGGGCTTTGCAGAAGCCCCCAGTGTTGTTGGCAGCATTACAGTCCCCCTTGAAAAGCAGCTGGACTTTTAAACTTTTTCCTCACACGGAAAACCTCAAAACAAGGTTTCATCCCAAACTCTGTTCTGGAATTAAGCACTGCTTGCTTTATATTAAACAAGATCAGTAACAGAAAATGTACACTGGAAATATGACTTTCAAAGAATACATCTTCTGCATAACCTGATGTAAATTTCCATCTCTACTTTGGAAGACTCATATAGATGGAACAGTCGCTACAGGGTTGAGAAGTAGAAGCCCAGTATTTTGGTGCTGTAGCCAAAACAGATGTTACATTTTGGAAGCAAAGCCTGACATACCGGAGGGTCCCAAGACCAGCCTGGCCTGACCTCATGGCTGACCCAGCTGCTAGACCCCCTGAACGATCCTGCTCTTCCTGGAGGGGCAGGGGAAGAGG